TTATAGCGTTTGTTATAGAGCGACTGTTGAAATTAAGTGTATCGGTAAAGTTGTATTCGGAGAGAATAAACCAGTTTTATTTAAGAAAGGACTTGTGTCGCTAAAGTTTCGTCGGAACGAAGTTACGGAAAATTAACTTACGAACGAACGGAGATGTAACAATATCTTAAACTTTGTACATTGGGGGATCTTTCTCCCCTTTCTTCTTAATTATAGATGTATAGCCTTTCTTAAACTGACACTTCACTTGATCGCCCACTTTGAAATGAAGGTTTACAACGATAGAGGGCACTACGGACTGATTAGAGAACTGACGGCTGTTGATATAACTTATTATAAACCTTGGCGAGATGTTTCAGTACAGTGATATACATGTACTTGTAAATTCCAGAACGTGTAAAATAGTCTACTTTCTAGTTTTAATAGCCAATAGACGCTTTTGTCTCGTTATGTGTAGTGTATGTTAATGTTTTATTGAGATAACACTGAAATAGATTATTTATAAAGTCTGAGCAATAATAATAAATGGTAAATATACTTCCAAACTTCAAAGCAAGTGATTGAAACTAAACTATCTCTAGAGTTTGAATGTTTTATGTTTATTATAAAAGTTTTCTACACAGCTTGTAAGTTAAACTAATGTGTGGAAACAATGTAGTATGCAATGAACTGTAATAAATGAAATATCAATTTTATGTATATTGTTCATAATCAATTCATACTGCCTATTTGATGTTTAGAAATAACGTATTACAGTTAGTTTATATAATTCAGATTTATATGGCAAACACTCCATTTCAGTACAAATAATGGCCCGACATGGCCAATGGTTAGGGTGCTTGACTTGCAATCTTAGGGTCACGGGTTCGAATCCCCGTCTATCAAACATGTTTGACCTTTCAGCCGTGGGAGCATCATAATGTGACGGTCAATCCCACTATTCATTGGTAAAAGGGTACCCCAAGGGTGTTGTCTTTCACTGCTAAATTAGGGACAGATAGCCCTCGTGTAGCTTTGTGCAAAAAGTCAAACCAAGTCAGTACAAATAATAGAACTGTAATACATATGTATTCAAATAATAAAGTAGAAAGCTGGCCACAACGTTAATGATGAAACTAATATAATGCTATAACTATAGTTTCTGATTTTGTCTAAAATGTTAATAATTTTGTTCAAACAGGTTAAACAACACCACATGACGAAACCTTTGCTGCACACAATTGGCCACGCTTCTGATGACGCTCCACATAGATTATCTCATTGCCCATTCCCCCTAGTGACACATTTTGGAAATAACCATCATAGTAACAAACTGTGAGACTAATATCACACCTGGAACTATCCGACCCTTGTGGCGTATTTAGATTCTATTTAGAATCGTCCAAGCTCAAGAGATACGTCCATAGTGTGGCACCCTATGATCTCCCATTCTTGCCCTCATGTATTGTCATCCTTTGGTTACAGTTTGGGCGAGTTAACTACAGATGTGGTGCTAATAGACAAACTTTGCAATGTCAGTTATATATCAATGACATTTTCAATTAGAATTAGAGAAATACTATTTACAGAAACTACCCATACTTTCCAGATTGGCATGACCTAGTGTTTAGGGCACGTGGCTCTCAAGTTGTGGATCATGGGTTCGAATCCCATCACCAGACATGCTTGCTTTTCCAGCCGTGAGCGAGTTGTAATGTAATGGTCAATCTTACCATTCGTTGATAAAGAGTAGCCCAAGAGATATCAGTGGGTGATGTTGACTCGCTGTCTTCCCTCTCGTCTATCTTCCAATTTACGAACAACTAGCGCAGATAGCTCTCGACCAGCAAAATTCAATACGTAAACAAACAAAAAATTATCAATCCTAGTTACAAATTACCAATATTTTTATGATAAAATGGCTAACCCAGGTTACATCCTACTAATACTTTTCATGATAAGATAACCAACCCTAGTTACAAACTACAAATATTTTTATGATAAAATGGCTAACCCAGGTTACATCCTACTAATATTTTTCATCATAAGATGATGAAATCCTGCTAAAACAACTTACTACAATATGACAAATCCCAGTTATAACCTATCACCACCTTCCATAATAAGGTGGTGAACACATTTTTAAACTACTGTCACTCTCCAAATTAAGCTGACCAATCCCAAGTATAAACTGATAACACTCTCCAAGATGAGGTGAAGAATCCCAAACATAAACTAACAACACTCTCCAAGATAAAGGGACCAATTCCAATTATAAACTAACAAAACTTTCAATGATGAGGTGACCAATCCCAAGTATAAACTAACAACACTCCCAAAATGAGGTGACCAATTCCAGATATAAAGTAACAAACTTTCCACGATGTGGTGGTCAATCCCAAACATAAACTAACAACACTCTCCAAGATAAAGGGACCAATTCCAATTATAAACTAACAAAACTTTCAATGATGAGGTGACCAATTCCAAGTATAAACTGATAACACTCTCCAAGATGAGGTGACCAATCCCAAATATAAAGTAACAAACTCTCCAAGATGAGGTGAAGAATCCTAAACATAAACTAACAACACTCTCCAAGATAAAGGGACCAATTCCAATTATAAACTAACAAAACTTTCAATGATGAGGTGACCAATCCCAAGTATAAACTAACAACACTCCCAAAATGAGCTGACCAATCCCAAGTATAAAGTAACAAACTTTCCAAGATGTGGTGGTCAATCCCAAACATAAACTAACAACACTCTCCAAGATAAAGGGACCAATTCCAATTATAAACTAACAAAACTTTCAATGATGAGGTGACCAATCCCAGGTATAAAATAAAAAACACTCTCCAAGATGAGGTGGCCAATCCCAGGTATAAAATAAAAAACACTCTCCAATATGAGGTGACCAATCTCAAGTATAAAATAAAAAACACTCTCCAAGATGAGGTGACCAATCTCAAGTATAAAATAAAAAACACTCTCCAAGATGAGGTGACCATTCTCAAGTATAAAATAAAAAACACTCTCCAATATGAGGTGACCAATCCTAGTTAAGATTACTAACAGTTTTAATATTTCTTGGTATTTTTCTATCCTCTAATGATGTTTTAATGCTGGTTTACTTACTCAAACTTATTCTATTTGCAAATTATTCTTAAATATTTATTGTTATTTTCTTTCTTCTTTGTTTTGTTTTTATAACGTATCAAAGTTATGGGGGGGATAGTAGTTATTCCTACCATCAGAAGCTAGAAATGACATTAATAGTATTTCTTTCAAACAAGATGGAACAGTCATTTGAAAGTGTTCTGGAACAACCATCAAAACATCCTGAAGACGTAAATAGAGCAAAATTAAGGGATCAACGCTACTCTTGGCCGTTAGAGGACGTAAGTCATAAGAATATCCAAGATCTGTCCCGTCGAAGTTCTTGGGACCATCACAAGAGGGAGTTTGGTGATAATATGGTTCGTTTTTACTGTATATTACTTAAGGACTAACTAAACTGAAATTATTTTAAGATCAAAAACTATGTATACATAACAAATGCTTACTGTTAAAAAAAGCTTCATAACTTAAATACGGGGAATACTTAGAAAACTTCCAAATTCGATGTTTATACCTATTCCTACTCCATGAAATAGAAATAACCATAGGTTAGCTGTTTACTTTACTGAAAACCTTGAGGGTGTTCATGTTGGTTGGAAGTTATCAAATATTAGCTGTTTACCTCTGTTGCAAACCTTTAGGGTGTTCATGTGGGCTGGAAGTTATTAAATATTAGCTGTTTACTTCTGTTGCAAACCTTTAGGATGTTCATGTGGGCTGGAAGCTATTAAATATTAGCTGTTTACTTATGTTGCAAACCTTTAGGGTGTTCATGTGAGCTGGGAGTTATCAAATATTAGCTGTTTACTTCTGTTGCACACCTTTAGGGTGTTCATGTGAGCCGGGAGTTATCAAATATTAGCTGTTTACTTCTGTTACCTTTAGGATGTTTACGTGACCAGGAAGTTGTCAAAAATTATGTTTATGCCTGTTAGCAGCATTTAGAGAGCTCAAGTGACCTGAAAACCTAAGTAAAGATTATGTAGGGCTTGGCCCAAAGTTGGGTAAGTCATGGTGTGGGGAGTATCCAAGAGATTAGTTAACTAGTTTTGGAAACAGTTTGAGTCTTGATAATACCATTATGAGAATCTACTATTACTGCCAATGGTAGATAAACCTTGTATTGAAATTATCTAAGAATACGTTGCTTACAATTGTTACAAACTTTAAACACACTTTGGGTCTGGACAGAGTGGAGTCAACATTTTAAAGGTTTCATATAATGATAACTATGCAACTAGTCTGATGATAAGTTGTAAGTTTCTTTAAGTATATTGTGTCGGTAAGACATTCTAAAATTGAAATTTGCAAACAATGAGGTTTAAAGAACGTGTTCTAATGATGCAACAATGAGGCTTAAAGAACATGTTCTAATGGTGCTTTATTATTTATAATGACTATTTCTGTCAGTTAACACATGCCAATTTTTATCTAACTACCGTCCTGTTGAAATTGTAATTTAACTCATTTTCTTGCTTTGTGTATTTTGCATGAATTATACCAATTACCATTCAATTTCAGAAATCTACAGGTCTTTGTATTTTCTAATAATTAAAGGAACAAGAACCCCTTCTGAAACCAGACGAACTTTGGAAGGTGGAGTTTCCAGTTAAAAACAATGTCCATGTTGAAGCATCTTCAAGCAGCACGAGACGACACAGTGTGGTACCAGATAGTTTTGACCATCAAGTGGATCTGTATCCTGATTCTAAGTCTAGCGACAGTTCACAGGATAAAACTCCAAACAACGATTGGGAGGTTCGGATGCTCGTCGAGGAGTTTGAGAAGAAAGTGCAAGAGCAACAGAAGAGAAGACACTCTTCTGGTGAAATGTTGTCATGGAGACGAGTTCTGGGGACTGATCTTCACTACCACAAGCAGCCAATTTGTCATCCCGGTGGTCAAGTCAGGAAGCTCAGTTTGCGAGATGATTGGCTTCGTCAATACAGCTGCTCTTCTAGAAATAAGAAGTCCTGTCCTCGTGTATCTGTGTCCGATTATTTTCTTCACGATAATCTCAACCCTGGTAGTAGAACAGCAACTTCTGCTAGCATGTATGATATTACCTCAACCCCCTTGCCCAAAGGGAAGTTTAGAGGATTCGAAGCAAAGCAAGGAAGTCGTTGCTTTCCAAGACCCACGAAAACAGCGTCTCACAGACGCCAGCTTTTCAAACAAAACAAGCAACATAGTATGACTGATCCATCGCCAAACATGTCCCCGCTCCAGAAGCGACGTCACCTCCTTAGATGGGTCAGCCTCGACGATTCCTCCTGCCCACAAGACTGTGAAAGTACGCTGGGTAGAGTGAAAAGTGAGCCAACCACTGAAGATATACACTTCAAGTTTCAAAATAGAGACACGCATGCACTGCTGAAACCACCTATGTTACCTTCCGAAAGATTTCTGTCTGCTGGGTTAAAGACTCGTGAGTTTATTGGTTGGCCGTCAAGTCCATGTCTTCCCACTATTACCGAGGTCGATCATCAAAAACTTGCATTATCCAAGCAGGACTCTTACACACTTAACAGGAGCGCCAGCGAAGATTATCTGAATGAAGGTGGGGGGTGGGTTGCGGGGGAATCTCAGAAGAAAATAGTTCAAAGAGAGAATCTAGAAGCCATCGCAAGCTGTTTGGGAACCGAATCACACACTGACGTTAATGGTCTCAGGGGTGCATGCTTAGTGACTGTAGAAAGTTATCAAGACTCGACAACGAACGAGTACGAAGAAGATTCATCGCTAGTGCCTGAAGAAGAAAGTTTCATAATTCCCATACCTGAACATGATCTTCATCCTCAATAATGGAGGGGCATTTTTATCATTTTAATAGCTTAGATGTTTCTTCTTAACTTTTAGCTTACAGATAATGGTAATATGAAAATAACGGGTACATTATGGTATAGATAATTCAAGTCTTTTATTACTTTGTCCACAGTTGTTGTTGGCGTTTTTTTCAACTAAGTAAGTAGTCTACGAGAACGAACTGAGAGCTAGAATAAAATAAATTTTGAATTTATTTTCGCATAAAGGGTACTGCGATATTCACAAAAATATTTATAAATAAATAGTTACTCTTACGCATATGCTGAAAACTTTCTTTCATCAACAAAAATATTCAATGAAGATAAAATAGTTCAAACATCTAATTTGTATTCTTCCGCTGACAGGTATAAACTACCATTTTCAACTGCTCAATTTGTTACAGGTTTGTAGGTGGTATTAAAAATAGTTTTAAACATTAAATTGAATATTTTAATTTGTATTCTTCCGCTGACAGGTATAAACTACCATTTTTAACTGACCGATTTGTTACAGGTTTGTAGGGGGTATTAAAATAGTTTTAAACATTAAATAGAATATTTTAATTCTTTAATTTACCTAAAATTTATATTTCAACATCATATTTGTTTCCTGTTTTATAATTAAGATATCATTAAAAACTTTGTTTTTAATTTATTACCAAACATATGGGGAAAACAGTATAACTTATATGGGGTTTTGATCCCTTTTTAATTCACCATACAGTATTAATTTAGAAATTATATACACATACCATTGTAAGAGGCCTAACTGTATTTCTTTGGTTTGCTACCCCAAGCTATGCTGATGACCCTCGAAGAGGCGAAAATGTAGTCCACAGCAGAGGGTACAGTCAATCATAGAATGCATTAGGCCTCTACGTCATAGATTCTAATTCCAATTTAACCTTTGGTGAAAAGAAATATTTAACATATAAAGCCTAATGTATAGCTTTGATTTGTTTGTTTGTTTGGAAT